TTTATACATTACAAACATGACAATCAATGTAACTCTGGTCCCCATAGATACATTACAAACATAACAATCTAGGTAACTCTGCTCCCCATTTATACATAACAAGCATGATAATCTACGTAACTCTGGTCCCCATTTATAAATTACAAACATGACAATCTAGGTAATTTTGGTCCCCATTTATACATTACAAACATGACAATCAATGTAACTCTGGTCACCATTTAATTATTACAAACATGACAATCTAGGTAACTCTGGTCCCCATTTATACATTACAAACATGATAATCTAGGAAACTCTGGTCCCCATTTATACATTACAAACATGACGATCGAGGTAACTCTGGTCCCCATTCAAACATTTAAAACATGACAATCTAGGAAACTCTGGTCCCCATTTATACATTACAAACATGAAGATCAAGGTAACTCTGGTCCCCATTTATACATTACAAACATGATAATCTAGGAAACTCTGGTCACCATTTATACATTACAAACATGACAATCAATGTAACTCTGGTCACCATTTAATCGTTACAAACATAACAATCTAAGTAACTCTGGTTCCCATTTATACATTACAAACATGACGATCTAGGTAACTCGGGTCACCATTTATTCATTACAAACATGACAATCCAGGTAACTCTGGTCACCATTTATACATTACAAACATGATAATCTAGTTAACTTTGGTCCCCATTTATACATTACAAACATGACAATCTAGGTAACTCTGGTCACCATTTATTCATTACAAACATGACAATCAATGTAACTCTGGTCACCATTTAATCGTTACAAACATAACAATCTAAGTAACTCTGGTTCCCATTTATACATTACAAACATGATGATCTAGGTAACTCGGGTCACCATTTATTCATTACAAACATGATAATCCAGGTAACTCTGGTCACCATTTATACATTACAAACATGATAATCTAGGTAACTCTGGTCACCATTTATACATTAAAACGTANGTATGCTAGAACTGTTGGTTGTTAAGCAGTATAGCAGCAGAAAGGCAACTAGAACTGTTGGCTGACAAGCAGTATATCAGCAGAAAGTGTACTAGAACTGTTGGCTGACAAGCAGTATAGCAGCAGAAAGTGTACTAGAACTGTTGGCTGACAAGCTGTATAGCAGCAGAAAGGGTACTAGAACTGTTGGCTGACAAGCAGTATAGCAGCAGAAAGTGTATAAAATAAGTTGGGATACTAGCAGTTTATCAGCAGAAAGTGTCTAGAACTAATGATTGACTAGCAGTAAAGTAGCAGAAAAAAACGTGTCTAGAATTTATGTTTGACTAGCAGTATAGCAGCATAAAGTAACTCAAACCTTATTTGACGAGCAGTAGAAAGTGTACTAGAAAGTGAACTAAGCTGTTGGTTGACTCGCAGTACACAGTGTACTAGAACTAATGTTGTACTAGCAGTATAGTAGCAGAAATGGCACTAGAACATATTTTGACTAGCAGTATTGCAGCAGAAAGTGTACTAGAATTAATGTTTGACTAGTAGTAGAAAGTGTACTAGAACTGTTTGTTGACAAGCAGTACAGGAGCAGAAAGTGTACTGGAATTGCTTGATCGAGAATAGGTGTTTACAACATCAGATATGTTTCAACACCTTACGCTGAATAATCTATTTTCCTTTTTCATATTTTTATTCGTGCTTCAACAGTGCATCTTGCCTTTGTCAATCAATAACAGGACACCTCATTTGCATTCATATGAATGACATTTCAGAGCATCAAAGTTATCCGGTTTTCTAATTAAAACGCAAAAAACCTAGTTATACAATTACAGGATATGCTTGAGCTATAGCAGACGTTGATAACGTTACGATGTCTGAAATCAGTGTTATAGCTAAGCTATTTATCAGATGCAATGTTAAACACAGACAGTAAGTCAACAACCTCTTCACGATTTTATCACAATTTAAAATCAGAGCAGCATAAATGTGTAGGACACCTAACGTAATCATTAACTTGACCTATCCACATGTAAATTGGTTTGGTATTCTAACCAGACAGGAAAGGCCCGCTGACATTTGGTGTTCTGTAGCAGTGGCGTGAACGTAAAACGGTTCACAGTACACCGGCCGCTGACAGCCCATGTATGTGATGTTGGCAATCATAGGTCACACGACAATTTATCATCGTCTCGTGTTTTGCGTGAGAAGACTGACAAAGCTTGTAATAAAACCTATGCACCCCGTTGATAACATTGATTGATAAAGGGATAAGTTTACCTTACCTCACACCAAGTACCTTACTTCTGTCTGTGCACGTATATCCATTCATCATGTGAACGATGGGGAATACAGAAGATGTTCTTTGTCATGCATTGATTACAATGAATTTAATACGCTGTAAAATAGATAGATATATGTAATACACAACACTTCAAACAGAGTCTACAACATATATGCTACGTACAGAATATATTATAACACAGTATATAATGCAGTACTGTACATTAAGTAATATTACATAATACAATATAGTGTGTATTATACCTGAACAATATACATTGTAGTACACTGCATATAGAATATAAAGTTATACCACCGGGTAGAGCACCTGGTTTGTTAATAGCTAAATCCGTGGCTTGGAATTGTTTATTGAAAATTGGAAAAGGAAACTTAATCGTCCCGGAGCCAAAAATTGTATTTCTGGAGGTAACAAACTACGTACGTACAGGTTATTTAACTTTAATTATGAGGTAGAAAGTTTAGGTGTGGGGTTGCACCGATACGCATCGAAACAGGCCGGTATGAGAGAAACCTTTGAGTGAAAGAAAGTGTTTCGCATGTAAAAGCGTGGTAGAAACAGAAAGTCATGTTTTAATAGAATGTAACTTGTATGATGATCTCCGATCAGGTCTATTGCAGGAGGCCAGTAAAATCACAAGTGATTTTTACAACATGAGTAAAGATAAAAAGTTAGTTGTAATTCTAAGCAACACTAAGCCCCTATCTCACATTCACCGATCTGAACACGAATGAACACGATTTAACGTTTTTCCTTAAATCGTGTTAGAACGTATGAAGGTCGCGCATTCGTGTTCACTCGTGTTAAGTCATGGTCGGTCGCGCGCGTTCGTATTGACGTCGCAGCTAGGCTTAAATCGTGTTATTATAATTATTATATTTGCAATGCAATTTTTTTTAACACGATTTAAGCCGAGCTGAGAAGTCGTGTTCAGTTGTATGAAGGTCGTATGACAGTCGTGTTCAATCGTATGAAGATCGTGTTCAGTCGTATGAAGATCGTTAACAGTCGCGTTCAGTCGTGTTGGGGAGCGTGGGAAGAAACTCATACGACCTTCATACGTTTTAACACGATTCAACACGACTTTCATACGCCTTTCATACGACTCTCATACGCCTGAACACGAAATCCATACGTTTGTCATACGACCGGAAGAGCCCATCATGTGACTGAGTGAGAACGTGGGAAACCCCCTGAAAGTGAAAGCTCATTCTACAGCCATGCCAAACTTCAGGCGGCCGAAACGGAAGCTCCTCCAAGCAAAACCTTTGAAAGGGAACCATCCTTCACTACCAGCCATGGATAGAAATCCACCCGGTACACAGGGACAAGATGAGCCAGCTGAAACCTCTGAACCACCACGAAAAAATTGCCAACAAAAACAAATACAACAACTGAAACTGACATCCAGCCATCTGAGCAGCCATCTGAGCAGGAGGATAGTCCATTCAACATTCCAGCACCATCACCTCCACATTCATCTCCATCTGAAGACATTTCACATCAATCTTACACTGAATCTACCACTGTGCTAACCGGGCCAGATCATGATGGTGTCGCTGGTACCGCTGAGCTAACCGGACCCAAACCAACCAAGAAAGGCAGACCAAATAAAAAAAAACATCCATCAATCCCAGTGATGATGTGTCTTCCCAACCGATCAAAAGACGCACCACTTGGTATATTTTCAGTGACCGCTAGGAAGTGGAATTAGCGGAGTTTTATCGCGAAAACATACAGTGGTCTCCCCAACAACCATGGTCGAACCCAGAATCTCTTCATGTTCCTCACTCTGCGACGCCTACGCTGCCTCCTACCCCTCACCATCAAAGCCATAGCTACGAGAAGTTCTTCCTCCTCCTCCAAAGCTGCTTCTTACGGGTCTTGTTCGTTGTTGAACATGATGAAAATTGACACAGAAATGCTATTGCAATGCAGCTTATATGCTACATGACCCACGTTACCAAAATAAACAATAATATGTCGTATGAAGGTCTTGCTCAGTCGTATGGAGATCGTTTTTATTTTTGTAGTCGTATGGACATCGTAATGATTCGTGTTTAATCGTATGGCGGTCGTGTTGATTCGTGTTAAGTCGTATGACAGTCGTGTTTGGTCGTGTGACAGTCGTATTGGAGTCGTGTTAAATGAGGTTAAATCGTGTTGTATCGTATGAATATCTTATGACAGTCGAATGAGTGTCGTGTTCAGTCGTATGAAGGTCGTATGAGGGTCGTATGAGGGTCGTTTTTGGTCGTATGACGGTCGTGTTTGGTTAAGAAATTTGCATAAACCACAAGGTCGAGCACGAATCAACACGATTTTTCAACTTTTCTTAAATCGTGTTCGCAATTTCCTAAATCGTGTATGTGAGATAGGGGCTTTACTTGGCGAGGTCCTGTGCCAAAACCTGTGATAATATTCTGAATCGATGTCGCAACTTGGTCTATAATTAAGCAGTAATGTGTCTTTTAATGTCAATTATTTCAATATTTTGGGAAAACTTGTTATTCATAATTATGTACATATATGTAATACTGTTACAGTCTAGAGTGATAGGGGAAGAGTGAGTGTATATAGCAGACTGGATGTAAAGGTGGATGAGCAGACATATGTAATACTGTTACAGTCTAGAGTGATAGGGGAAGAGTGAGTGTATATAGTAGACTGGATGTAAAGGTGGGTGAGCAGACATATGTAATACTGTTACAGTCTAGAGTGATAGGGGAAGAGTGAGTGTATATAGTAGACTGGATGTAAAGGTGGGTGAGCAGACATATGTAATACTGTTACAGTCTAGAGTGATAGGGGAAGAGTGAGTGTATATAGTAGACTGGATGTAAAGGTGGGTGAGCAGACATATGTAATACTGTTACAGTCTAGAGTGATAGGGGAAGAGTGAGTGTATATAGTAGACTGGATGTAAAGGTGGGTGAGCAGACATATTTTAGAGATTGTAATACTTGTACCTTTTATATGTGACACGATAATAATCTAATTTCAATTGAATTGAATACAATAATCTATTCTTTGACAGGGGATTCCGATAGATCTACCTATAAATACCTGAGGACGCGTCATAACAGTACACGGCTGGACGCGGGCAGTACTTTTGGGGAACTAGGCATAGCAACCCGCCATAGCATTGATAAAGCCTCGGTTATATCCCATGCATATTCATAGTGGGGTGTACGGTATCAGACTATACTACTACACTGATAAACGTGACATACATATACACTGTTTATTTCAATATGCCTTACAGATTGTGTTCTGTTTACCGGGGACACACAGACATACTTGTTGTAAGATTTTTTAGTTAAAACATGGCGGTGAACGTTATCGGTTTGGTAGTTATTGCGGTGTTTTATCTTATCATTCTCATTATCGGTATTGTTGCTGGACGTAAGAGCACCAAATCCAACGATGCTGAGGAACTGTTTGTCGCCAACAGAAGCTTCGGTCTGTTTGTTGCCAGTTTCACCACAGCTGGTAAGTACTTTACTAATCTCCATTGAAAGTTCTTTTCTTACAACCTTTTTATTAGGGATTCCCCATATAGAGCAGGGATTCCCATGTACAGAAAAGGATTCCTTTTATCCTTAACAAAAAACCCATTTACAGAGTAAAAATATTAAGCAAACGGCTTTTATTAATCCATTAAACAAAACATCAACATTACCATCCCTGTTATTAAATGGTTAAAATTAATATGTCCATATGAGGATAAACTCCCCAGAGGTAATCCATATTCCTCCCATACCTATATGGCTTGATATTTGCTTATCTTAACTTTTTAAGGACGGGTGTAACATTTCATATTAATTTGGAAAACCCACCTTATATGCGAGAGTTTTCTCTTGAAATGGAGAAAAATGTTGATAAATGAATGCTTTCTTCAGCAGCTTTTAGTATAAAATGATACCATGTCAGTGAGAAGTTACCGTTAACTTTACAATTAAACTCATTTCGGAACAGGTAAGAATAATAATTTGCAAATCTCACCTAATGATGTAGACGTGGACTTTTTGCTAGAAATACGAAGTAAGGGAAATTTTTACAAATTTCGTTATTTAAGGATTAACTTGAATATATTTTTCATGTTATGGAGATATAACACACAAAAAAACCGGAGTGTACTCTGATGAGAGTACACCGGTTTTTTGTGTTATAGCTCCATAACATAAAAAATATATTCAAGTCAATCCTTATAATTTAATCTGCTATACACAATCCCTGCGGAAATCCACTTTTATTCATGGACTCTTTTCTCTTAGAGATTATTACGCCGCTGCATCAGCCAATCAAAAGCGAAGTTACGAACGGCGACGTCATTTTTCTTTATAGGCTGATATTATAAATATTTTAGCCAATGAAAATGCTTGTTACAAGCAAGATGAAATTATTCGATCGTAAAACAAACAAAGTAAATATGTTTTACTGCACAATTAGTCTATGAATTCGGACTTATCAGTAGAACCAAATGTAAAACGATTGATTATTGATGTCTAAAGACATATTGACCATGGAAACAGTTACATGACGTCATCAGGAAGCAATATCTTCCTTATCCTTGTTAGGTATGCAATGGCATCTATACCAATGCAGTTTAATATGTCAATACCTACACTGTAAATAAATCGTCCTTATCCATGCAATAGCCTTTGTCTTCTTCACCAGACGATGCCATACTTATTGACTATGTTGAGTGCCAATGCTTTTAATATGGGTTCTGGGTTGTATCATACTAATTTATTATTTGTTCAACAACAATTATAATATAAACTGTTGAAATGAAGCTTGACATTTCCTGTGTGGTATTCGACAGCTACCATGGTCGGTGGTGGTTATATTAATGGAACAGCCGAGGCTATGGGGAGAGACGGAATGATCTGGGCTATAGGACCGATCGGGTACAACATTGGTATGGCCATTGGTAAGAATTTTGCAATTATCATTTGTATTTAAGCTCAGTCACTAACCTAATGCATTGATTGGTTGTATCCTACAATCGATATAGGATTTTATGTCACATAGTAATTATTACCAAAACACACACGTAAAACAAAAATAATCCTCATACTCTTTAAGATAGTATAATAAACTCATCACCCTACAGGCCTTTCCCTACATAAAGGCTACATGTCCGGTTATAAATGATTGATAAAAGTAATGGTGTCGAATATCGGATGGCTTTTTAAAAACAAATTATTGTGTATAAATATTCCAAAATCAAGTTTTATGAAGAGAAACGCCAAGATGCTTATGATAATTAATATAAGAAATAATTTCATATTGAAAGGAATTTGTAGGTATATTCATATGCAAACAATTTAATCGTACTAGACACAAAATCAGTTATATCGTTAATATTGAGGAGAAATACAAATGGACCTAGCACTAAACCTTGTGGGAAGCCATCATTAGCTAACTAATTGAAATGAAGAAAAGAAACATTTAGTAGCAAACTTTTGTTTTCATCATATTAAAATTTTGCCTGATATACCATATTTACTTAATTTACTTAATTTATTCATAGGCCCTACATGCCAGACTCTAACAAAGGCCTTACTTGAATTACAGAATACACATTTTAAATCTTTACCCTTATCTAGATTACTAATCATTCCGTTGTAGACATGCAGAAGTTGGTTTACAGCAGAATCACCAGGTATAAGATTGATGGTCAGAGATAATCTTGTTGGTCAAAAGGTTGAAAGATCAAGGTCAATTTTTTCACTGTTAAACATTTTGTTCTGACACTTTGAAGCAATGTGCTCAGAATTAAACAAGGAGACAATTGAGGAAAGGTCAAGGTCACTGGGTCAAAGGTCAAGGTCAAATTTTGTATCTTTTCCCTGATGAACATTTTGTTATGATATTATGAAGCATAGTTGGTCGGAATTTAACAAAGAGTCAACTGACTTTTGGTCAAGGTCACTGGATCATAGGTCAAGGTCAAATTTAGTATCCTTTCACTGGTGACATTTCGTTATGGCACTTTGAAGCAATGTTGATCGGAATTAAACAAGGAGTCATTTGCCCAAAGGTCAAGGTCACTGGGTCAAAGGTCAAGGTCAAAGTTTGTATCTTTTCACTGATGAACATTTTGCTATGACATTATGATGCAAAGTTGGTCGAAATTTAATAAGGAGTCAACTGACCAAACGTCAAGGTCACTGGGTCAATATCAAGGTCAAATTTTGTATATTTTTACTGATAAACATAATTTTTATGTTATTATGAAGCAAAGTTGTTCAGAACTTAACACAGAGTCAACTGACCCAAGGTCCAGGTTACGGGGTCGAAAGGTTCAAGGTCAAGGTCAAGTTTTTTTTTTTTCACTAATGAACATTTTGATACGACATTATAAAGCAAAGTTGATCAGAATTAAGGAAAAAGTCAACCGACAAAATATCAGGGTCACTGGGTTAAAGGTCAAGGTCATTTGAGGCCAAAGGTCAAAGACAAAGTGGATCTCTGACTTTGACGGAGGAGGTATTTAAGGTGAAATATAAAATATCAAAGCTAACAAATGAGTATTGCACCGGTATTTACATTTCTGTTAGCCCAGCAGATATGGAGGTGGAAGGAAACAAGACTCACATCATTGTACATCAAGTCCAAATGTCAGACGTGTAGCTCAGCTATAGGGGCAGATTGCTTCTTGATGATTATGGAGGATATATTGCCACAATACGGGGCCCTTACTAACATGTCAGTGTTCTAGTTTAATACGTCATTTCCCCCTCCATTTCCCTTACATATTGCATTAACATAAGCTAGATTTCATACATTTGTGGGTTTTTTCACAGTTCAAAGAGCATTATTAAAACGTAATTTCAAAGGTTTCTAAAGACTAAATTTCTAAAGACGGTTCAAGTTTTTTAACTACCCTTACTATAACACAATTCGGATCAGGAGTTTTTTTTCCATTTATATTAGAAATCTAATAACTATGATATTTCAGAAATAAGAGAAAAAAGAGAAATAATACGATCTTCCAAAGTTCTAGACCAGGTGTGATAGAGGATAGAGAAGTAAAATGGAAGTTAAGACAGCTTGCTATATCATATGGGTGTAATAAAAATGGTTATTATAGTCTAGAGAGGACATAAGTGTAGGCTTAGTATCCAAATTAGAAAGTGATTTGGCAATTTCCCTCATTTTATTAGAAGGTTTAGCATTATCATCAAGTGATTTTTGTAGTTTCTCTAAATACAGGTTACCTAATTAGATAAATGACCTCATTTCTTATCAACCTAAAGCTATTCCAATGTTCTGTACTACCAGTTATTTTGGCTTCCCATGTATTCTATTTGTCTGCCTCATTTTCTTTCTTATAGTACTATTCATTCATAGTTTATCCCTAGGCCTAATATTTATTAATTTACATGGTAAAAATTTACCCGAATGATCGAAAATGGCCTTAGTTAAATTATTACTAGATTTATTAGAGTTTTGATATTGAGAAATTCTTAGCCAATCAATATCAATTTTTAAAATTCAATAAATTTCTTTTTATATGTATTCTGTTAAAAACACAATAAGACACTGGTATGAATTGACGAGTGATCACTAAAAATACTGCACTTACATATGTACTGTAATACTAGTTTTATCATCTGTAATACAATATCAATAGAAGGAGTACTCTCTTGAGTAATCCGTGTTGGTTAGTCCGTATTTTGATAACAGTTATGAGATGTAGGACCTTGGTTGAATAGTTAACATATTTGCATTTATATCTCCTCTTGTTATAATTATATTAAGGGGAAAATCCAAAGTTGTACCAAAATAGATTTTTGTCAGTAGTTAGTGTAGGAGTCTTGTGGCCTATATAAACAGACTAGTAGGCTTTTGTGATTATCATTTGCAGTAGTTTTTAGTCATGATAATTCTATATCATCTATTTTTTAAGTCCTGTCCATGGGCTACCCATCATCTTAGCATTTGTTTTTGATTTTGATTTTGATTCGTACCAAAATCACCCCGTCTAGGTATTATATGGTTAGTGTGTTTGCTGTCAAATTATCACTGTATACAAAAGCCTGTTTATACCAACACATGATGCCACTCCCCTCTCCATCAAAGTACCTATACATTTTAAAGGGACACATACACAAATCTAAATATTAACACCAATTCTGGAGCTCAACACAGTATTTGTTTCTCCTTTAAAATATGTAAGAAACACTCATCATTCTTCAACGTACTTTTTATTATTGGAACCTGTTAGAAAATAATAAATAAAATATTTCATTTGAAATTGATGATGTTATTTGGTACTTCGTTAGCTGGTATAGTCATTGCCCCGAAAGTCCGCAGCATGGAATACTCGACCATCTTTGACCCGTTCCAGCAAAAGTATGGCAACAGAATGGGAGGCCTGCTCTTCTTCCCTGAGTTGTTGGGAGACCTTTTCTGGGAAGCCGCCATATTGGGAGCTTTAGGTATAATGACATTTTGGTTTTTACACATTTACATGTGTAATCTTGTTTTTCCTCGACATTTTAAATGATTGTTGTTTGTAATAAGGAATCTGGTTTGCATGTTGAAACCATAACTACTAACCCGACAAGAGTAATTACAGATCTCTTTCATATGTGTGTGTGACAACCACGGACTACCATTTGGTGGTTTAAAATCATTGAGATATCATTCTGTGGTTCATCAAGAGGAAAATACTTCATTAACATTTACATTATTAAAATGCCACTCTTTTGATTTAATAGTGATGTTTGTGTCGATTATGATTGAAAAGCTTGTTTCGTTGAGGATGTTTTACTGTGATTTTAAGTTATTGTAGATATTTTAAAGTTTCAACCACGAAAACGGAGATTAATAAACTTTAGAGTATGGGCTTGATGTTCTTGATTTTCTCTTCTTTATTTTATATATACCAAGAAAATGTCATGAAAGTAGATATTTTGTTATATTATTTTCATGTTCATCAGATTATTTATCAACAGCCGTCAAAAATGTATGTTCAATATTTATCTTTCGATGTAGCATTTGCCTTAAATACAGGTAACGAAGCTGGAAGGTCTTTGTTACAGACAAATACATTTCAAAATAAAAATAAAATCGATCAGTCCTTTGGGCTACGGTTCCATCAGCTACATCATTGAGGAAAACGCATATGTACTATGGCCACATATCTGTCAAAGATTTATCAAAATTGAGAAAAACAAATTATTCTTGGAATAATAACAAGTTATAGCAAAATTTTCCTTTTTTGACATGAATATAAAAAAATCCTATAATGCAAAAATCTAGCAACAAAAGAAAGGACAAGTGGATATATTTGGCATATCAGAAGAACTCAGTCATCAAGCCAAGTTAATCACATAACGTATTTCTGTTCCAGGCACGACGCTTTCTATAGTACTGGGCCTGGATATGACCATGTCCGTGATCGTGTCCGCATGTGTTGCGGTCGTCTACACCTTTTTTGGGGGCCTCTACGCGGTGGCTTACACTGACGTCATACAGCTCTTCTTTATGGGAATTGGCTTGGTAAGTAGTGCCCCAAAATCGTTGGTATTATGATACCATCCTAGAAATAGGGCTTACATGCAATATCATTGATCGTAGTTGTCCAGAACCAATAATAAAATGTTACACGGAACTTCATAAAGCACACGTGATCCGCGTTAAACACAACATAAACATATATAGTGGATTGAAGTCTGTCTGAGATGAAAGACGGCATCTCTCAATAACATTTGATGTAGAGATCTGGCTTTACAGAAGTGAGGCTTGTATTTAATGTAAACGCTATCCGTAGGTTAGGGTGTGTGATAACTCTGAGAAAAACAAAGTTAACGATTACTCAAATTAAAGCCGATACGTCAAAAGTAACAGTGAGATGGCCATTACTGACATACTGTAGGTAAATAGCACAGTTTTGTAATGGAGTGATCATAGATGTTATTTTGTAGGTAAATAACGCAGTGTGTAGGTGAAGTTGTGATAAGTATTGTCAAACAGCAATTTAACGCCATAGATTTATTGTGAGATCATCATTGATGTTACGCTGCACATACAGGTCTAGATATGAACAGATACAAAGGAGGGCGTATGTACTATTTTGATAACAAATGTCGGAGGATAAACCAAATATTTTTTTTTTTTCGAAAAATGTATCATGTATCAAGAATAAACACTGTGAACATAACTGCGGCATTAAAGGGTAAAGCGAGTGTATTTACCTCCCGCTTACATCCTGTATAAATTAGCCTTATGAGAACATGCACAATCAGATCGCTTGTATGTAAAGGAATTCTTGTCAGCAGTTTGGTATATAACAAGTTGTCTCATTTTTCAAGGGAAAATCGCATTCGGTATGGCAGGCTGTATAGGAATATATTATACTGTAATTTCATCTTGTATCATATCATCATATAAATTGGTATGTCATGTCCGTCTTATAATCTACTCCGTTGTGATATACGTTTCCATACTGAGTGCAATTTTACGTCATTCGAGACAATTTGTTTCAACTTAAGTAGAGTCCGTCCAGGCCCATAAAGTCGTACAGTCTCAAGATTTCAAGAATTTATTACGCTCTGACACACAAAGTGTGTAACAAGAGGTCAAACAAAATAACATCAATCAAATAAAACATGACAGAGAGAGTAGATTACACATGGACAGATTAAGCATTATTTCATGAACAGATTCAGCATTATTTCATGGACAGATTCAGCATTATTACATAGGTAGATTCAGCAATATTTCATAGATAGATTCAGCAATATTTCATAGATAGATTCAGCATTATTTCATAGATTCAGCAATATTTCATAGTTAGATTCAGCAATATTTCTTAGAAATTCAGCAATATTTCATAGATAGATTCAGCATTATTTCATAGATTCAGCGTTATTTCATAGATTCAGCAATATTTCAGATAGATTCAGCAATATTTCATAGATAGATTCAGCAATATTTCACATTGTTTGATGTACATATGTATCAGATGTATTGTTACAAAGTATCATTATAAGCAACACATGGACAGATTCAGCATCATTTCATACATGTGAAACAGTAAGATTATACAAGGACAGATTTAGCATTATTTCACACATGTAGATTACATGTGGACAGATTCAGCATTAGTTCACACGAGTGAGAGTAGATTACACATGAAAAGAATCAGCATCATTTCATGCGTGTAAAACAGTAAGACTATACATGAACAGATGTATTAGCATAATTCATATATGTATCAAATACACAATTTTCACAGCAAATTGTCTTCAGATTTGCCATAATGCAAAGTATAGTAGTTTGACCTACTGATATATTTCAATTGTTATTTTTTTTATAACTATTTGCAGTTTTACAAGAAATGTACTAACCCTTTTAATTAATCGTTTGTTACATATTGTAAACATTCCTTTCATTTTATCGACATTAGAGTTCGTGTAATAATATTTTGGAATACATTTCCCCCTAATCTGGCGAATGGATTCTTATTCTTGTCCCGGACATATTCCTATTCTCATCCGTAGCAGTAATCACTTAGTCAATTATCAGTATGACCTAAGTACCAATGATACCAGGATGCAGCACGAGTCCTTATTGTATAGGTAAGGTTGGAATGACACTCGATTAGTATTGTACAAAGCTATACCAATCAGATCAAGATTTAAATTTTAATACAATAACAGCATGCATTTTCAATTCAATATTACAAGCAATGAAGAAATGATTATCGCAGCTTTAAAAAAAAAAACACGAATTCTTTGGAGTCAGCCATTGCCAATGTGTTTAGATGCTAAATCGCTCTAGATAAAATACACTCCATTTGATGTTCCAGGTTCTGGCCATACCATTCGCCGCCATGAATCCTGCTGTGGACCTGTCTCGTGTCCAGGACACATGGACTGGTCATCTTGAACCTCAGCTTATCGGCCTATATCTAGATACAATTTGTATGCTGATTATGGGAGGCATGCCATGGCAGGTGAGGATAATCTTCAATATAATCTTTATTTTCATGTTGTAAGCTACTAGATATAACATGCAGATATTTAACATTTTATCAATGATTTGGAAATACAATACTATCTTTAGAATATTGATATCACAAGAAAGATACGTTGTTTTGGCCAAGAGATACAATGTACCGGCCACAAAACACCTTAAGGAGGCTACATCATACTTTGGTGAGGACACTTGATGGTCATTAGATACTATGTTATGGTCAATCAATGATAGGTATGGGTAATAAGATACATAGACATGACCGTTATTTCCTATGTAGTGACCATTAAATTATATGTGGTGACATTTAGACACTAAATAGTATCAGCTGCGATACAGTGGTAATTAAATGGGCAGAATGTTACCAACTTTTGTAGAACGCCCTATATCTTCAGCTCATCATTATTTGTAGCCTTCTGCTGACACTTCTGATAGGTAATTTCAGGTTCAGGTAAGATAATGGCAACCGTCACAGGTTTAATATAGATAGCCTTTACTGGTCGGAGCATTTTAACCGTCACACGTCTTATAGAGTCAGTCCTTAACTATCTTAACTTCTAAATGTAAGTTGTTTAAAACTTCTCGTAAAACATTATTGTAATTGTTTTCCCAATTGGTTGCCTAGGCACTGTACCAGCGTGTATTGGCCTGCAAGAGTCCAGCCCTTGCCCGGAACGCGTGCCTCTTGGCCGCTCTCATCTCCCTTCTGCTGGCGGTCCCTCCTGCAGCCGTTGGGGTCATAGGATCTGCCACAGGTACATTTGTCTGGTATAATATGAATAAAATCCCCCTTATATTAACAATTGTAAAACTATTTCGTATTTTTAAAATAAGTCGAATATCGATGCTATACATTATTTTACCTTGAGGTTAACCACGGTACAACTAATGCGTTTTATTAGAATGCATTAAATTAAGGATGGTCTTTAATTAACTGGAAATATTTTGTTCATTGTAAATGGTATTTTATGTTTTGGATTTATCTAAGCTCATTGCAAGTACAGACACAACAATTTATGAATGTTGTATGCCATCAGTGTTTTAGGTGTGTGTATTAAGCGTCGCAAAAATGGGTTTTATGAAATGTTTCAACAACTCCTCTCTTGCTTACCAATTCTTCAGTGATGAAACATAGTGGATATGGGAGAGTCGGAGAAATAAGATTTATCATACATTATTCACAATATATCACATCATTAAATGTATATTGATCTTCCAATATATTGTATATTCTGAAACTGGTTTAAACAGATTGGAACGCCACTGAATATCCAGGGAATATTCCTTTGGAGTACGAGCGTTGGACACACATTTTCCCCATGGTACTCCAGTACCTGTGCCCTATGGCGGTCTCCATCGTCGGTATAGGGGCCGTCTCGGCAGCAGTCATGTCCTCCGCCGACTCTTGTGTTCTAGCTACTGGAAGTGTTTTTGCAAATAATATTTACAAAAACATATTCCGACCAAAGGTAAATTTTCTAATATACATAATTATGATTAGGCATCATGGATATTTACTCATATTGGTTTAATAATACGGTAATGTAATTATTATTATATTTTATAATATTAATTGTTAACATTCAAAATGTCTCGATTTCATTTCTGAATATACCTAATGCATGTTGATTTATTTTTTGTCACACTATATGACGAGCGCGTTCACGACGTTCTAAGATCTTTTTGTTAAGGTATTCACAAGTACTGTTTTATGGTAGTCGCAATTTGACAATCACTTGTCATTAACTTCTTGTATGTATCTGATGTCGCTGTGTAAGACCATGATCAATACGTCCCTATGCCTACATGGCCGTACAACTATAAGATATGAAACGTTTGAGAAAATCATGAATAATGTCTGAGTAATTTTATAAGACTTGCCTGATTTGGAGGTGTAATGATTTTGCTAAAACATATTATTCATGACCATTCACGTACTTAATAATAACTATGATTAACGCAAGATTACATAAAATAAAAGATATGGAAGATGCGGATATGTGCGTACATAGAGCACATTATTTGTTATCGTGTAGTAAGGTTTCGTAGCATCGCTGCGCATACATATATTCTCCTCATTATAGTAAAACACACTTTCATAATAATGAAATAAAAACTATAAGAGACTGAATTTCACGAAATAGAAAATTAACACTAATATATTAGAGTGGATGGGCAATCAGTCTGGTTGATCAAAAGTTATTTTCTTTCTTTTATATATATATTGACTTGAGCAAGTCTACAAGCTAGGCCCTTTTTGTCATTGATCAAACTACAGGTTTTTGTTTTTTTCAAATATTTTATTTCCCCCGGCCAAATATTATATTATTCTATTATGGCCCTTTCCCGAGGGAACTGTTCTCTTATAGTGTTGTCTGGGGAGGTATAGTGCCTCCCTAGACAACACTATAAGAGAACAGTCCCTCGGGAAAGGGCCATAATAGATTTAGTACATCACATGACTGCCATTTGACAATAAAAAGACAAACACGAGGAAATGCATTGCGTATATTGGCATAGAAATCCGCCAACACACCGTTAAATTCACTGCATTTAATTGTCGCAAGATCACATACAGTTCCCCTTTCCAGGAGGAACTCTTTAAGGACTGTGACTGCAAATTGTGTCGCCTGCTTCGTTTTCATACATTGCTGAGCCTCTGCAAAGCAATCGGCATTCCCGGTCCCGAATCTCGAAGCCATTTTGGCAGACAACAACAATGAACTGAAAGAAGAATATGTACAGCGCCCCCTAGGAGAAGGGGCGCAACTCTTGGCGTCACGCTACTTTTCCCGCAGTCTCAGCGGTCCAAAAAAAGGTATAGTGCCCGTCTCCAGGTATAGTTCCCGTCGTCAAGGGCGGATGCTAACTATACCAAATAGAGCAAGGGTAGTTATCCAATAGCTATCCTAGTAAATATCATGTGATGTACTAAATATATATAATACTGATAAGTATATACAGATATATATAAATAAATTGATAGGAACTGCCAGGGTTGGGGAGCCCTGATGTCAGTCCCCTACCGTGTCCCCTACACTCAGGAGTGGGGAAGGCATATTAAACATGTCAATACCTGAGCCCAAATTTGCAGACATATGTCCTCCTCCCGAGACTGATGGGACTTTTCCCGATCCCGTGGGGTGGCTCTCTGCAACCATGGGGACTGTCACCTGCATGTCAGGCTCCTCCATGGCGCCCAGCTCAGACTCATCCTCCTCATGCTGTGCCTGGTATGACCGAGCTCCTCCCCTCTTGTTGGCCCTGGCATAAGGGCTGTTAGATTTCCTACGCTTGCTTGGGGGCATAGTCAGCTTCTCAACAGATAAATACAAAACTTTAACATAAATGATGAGCTAATGCAACATTAGTTATAACTGACTCAGCTGAACATATTGAAATTTGAACAAGGGTTGTCCCCCTGGCCCTCGATTACTGCACAGCAAATAATTAACCTTAATTCGGGTTAAGTCAATCAACATCAACATGCTATATCACAATTTGGAATATATTATACAAGCATATAAATAACATCACAGATGCTGCTAATATTCTGAATATTTCCGGTACAGGTCAAAAGGTTGATGGGGTCTGTAACTTGCTTACATGTGCCAGGGGAGGCAACTCGTGCAGTAAATGACTCGCTTAACATAATGCAATTAGGCAAAGATAGTTAGAAATAAAGGCTGTTCCTTAAATAACACAAGTTATTCATTATTAATAACTTGCATTATAGGCCTCTATTGTTATACCCTTTGTGTTACAGTCACGGTTGTAGTTATAGGCCACTATTGTCATACACTTTGTGTTACAGTCACGTTTGTAGTTATAGCCCTCTAGTGTCATACACTTTGTGTTACAGTCACGGTTGTAGTTATAGACCTCTATTGTTATACCCTTTGTGTTACAGTCACGGTTGTAGTAATAGGCCTCTAGTGTCATACCCTTTGTGTTACGGTCACGGTTGTAGTTATAGGCCTCTATTGTTATACCCTTTGTGTTATAGTCACGGTTGTAGTTATAGGCCTCTCTTGTTATGCACTTTGTGTTACAGTCACGGTTGTAGTTATAGACCTCTATTGTTATACCCTTTGTGTTACAGTCACGGTTGTAGTAATAGGCCTCTAGTGTCATTCCCTTTGTGTTACGGTCACGGTTGTAGTTATAGGCCTCTATTGTTATGCCCTTTGGGTTATAGGCACGGTTGTAGTGATATACCTCTATTGTTATGCACTTTGTGTTACAGTCACAGTTGTAGTTAGAGGCCTCTATTGTTATTCCCTTTGTGTTATAGTCACGGTTGTAGTTATAGACCTTTATTGTTATGCACTTTGTGTTACAGTCACGGTTGTGGTTATAGGCCTCTATTGTTATACCCTTTGTGTTATAGTCACGGTTGTAGTGATATACCTCTATTGTTATGCACTTTGTGTTACAGTCACGGTTGTAGTTATAGGCCTCTATTGTTATACCCTTTGTGTTACGGTCACAGTTGTAGTTATAGACCTCTATTGTCATACACTTTGTGTTACAGTCACGGTTGTAGTTATAGACCTCTATTGTTTTACCCTTTGTGTTACGGTCACGGTTGTAGTTATAGACCTCTATTGTTATGCACTTTGTGTTACAGTCACGGTTGTAGTTATACACCTCTATTGTTTTACCCTTTGTGTTACAGTCACGGTTGTAGTTATAGGCCTCTAGTGTCATACACTTTGTGTTACAGTTACGGTTGTAGTTATAGGCCTCTATTGTCATACCCTTTGTGTTATAGTCACGGTTATAGTTATAGACCTCTATTGTTATACCCTTTGTGTTACGGTCACAGTTGTAGGTATAGACCTCTATTGTTTTACCCTTTGTGTTACGGTCACGGTTGTAATTATAGACCACTATTGTTATACCCTTTGTGTTACAGTCACGGTTGTAGGTATAGACCTCTATTGTTTTACCCTTTGTGTTACGGTCACGATTGTAGTTATAGGCCTCATGTTTTAAATTTTGCTTACATGAAATGTGATGAGACGATATACTCCATTATCATTCTGGTTTCAGGGTTTTTAAATGATTTTTTTTTAGTTTTCTTACTTTTAAGGTCTATTTCACAGTTAAAATAATATATATCCCTTTTTCTCTGTATATTACAGGCAACTCAGAGAGAGATTGTTTGGGTCCTTCGCCTAACGATAGTCGTTGTTGGTACCGTTGGAGCGGTCATTGCCCTCACAGTGGGCAGTGTGTACGGACTATTCATACTGTGCGCTGACCTGATGTACGTCGTACAGTTTCCTCAGCTTATCTGTGTTCTATGGGTCAAGTGTGCGAATACATACGGCAGCCTTACTGGCTTCGTCATCGGTCTTTTCCTCCGAGTGGCGGGAGGGGAACCGTTCCTCAAGATAGATCCTTGGATCAAATATCCAATGCACCACGAAGAATACGGACAGCTCTTCCCATTCAAAACTTTTGCAATGCTTTGTTCTCTATTCGCCATCATTGGTGTGTCATATGTAACAGAAAGACTGTTCACCCAGGGGACCCTATCCAAGAAATTTGACATATTTCGTTGCTATAGTGAAGAGAAGGGAATGGAGAAGAAAGGCGATACTGAAATTGAAAGAAAAGAACCTCTTATGACTAACATAGATCCAGACTTTTTTGAAAATGGTCATCTAGAACTGCGCTCACGAAATCAAGACAAAAACTGTTAAATCGTTTTGAAAATTGGATGTTGTAAAATGTCAAAAAAATGTCAAAAATATCAAAATATTATTTAAAACGGTTTATGCATAGTATCATATATTTGAAATGTAGATGATATTAGATTCAAATGTATCTTTAAAGGAACACTATATGAACTTTATACTAGATATGAGTTCCATGAAAATGTAATTGTAACGAAGTTGGCATATTATTGCCTTCATTAGAACAAATAATATCAGTATTACCAGGTACATGTATAACCATGACTGCTCTGAAAACATTGCCAAGTCTGTAGAAGATGAAATTATAATCGAACTCTGAATATGTTCATATTCTATTAAATATGACCTTATTGTCAATCTGAATAGGTTCGTATTCTATAATAGTGACTTAATCGTTGATTCTTAATACGTTCATATTCTATAGAATATATCATTATGACGATCAAGGTAACTCTGATTCCCATTTATACATTACAAACATGACAATTGAGGTAACCATGGATCCCATTCATACATTACCAACATGAAAACTGAGGTAACTCTTGTCCCATTTATACATTACACACATGACGATCGAGGTAACTCTGGTCTCCATTTATACATTACTAACATGATAACTGAGGTAACTCTGGTCTCCATTTATACATTACAAACATGATAATATAGGTAACTCTGGTCCCCATTTATAAATTACGAACATGACAATCTGTGTAACTCTGGTCCCCATTTATACATTACAAACATGATAATCTAGGTAAATCTGGTCCCCATTTATACATTACAAACATTACAATCTGTGTAACTCTGGTCCTCATTTATACATTACAAACATGAAGATTTGTGTAACTCTGGTCTCCATTTATACATTATTACAAAGATGACAACTGAGGAAACTCTGCTCCCCATTTATACATTACAAACATGACAATCTAGGTAACTCTGGTCCCCATTTATACATTACCAACATGACAATCAAGGTAACTCTGCTCCCCATTTATACATTACAAACATGACAATCTAGGTAACTCTGGTCACCATTTATATATTACCAACATGACAATCAAGGTAACTCTGGTTCCCATTTATACATTACAAACATGACAATCTAGGTAACTCTGGTCCCCATTTATACATTACAAACATGACAATCTGTGTAACTCTGGTCCTCATTTATACATTACAAACATGACAATCTGTGTAACTCTGGTCCCCATTTATACATTACTAACATGATAATAAAGGTAACTCTGGTCCCCATTTATACATTACAAACATGACGATCTAGGTAACTCTGGTTCCCATTTATACATTAAAAAAATGACAATCTAGGTAACTCTGGTCCCCATTTATACATTACAAACATGACAATCTGTGTAACTCTGGTCCTCATTTATACATTACAAACATGAAGATTTGTGTTACTCTGGTCTCCATTTATACATTATTACAAACATGACAACTGAGTTAACTCTGGTCCCCATTTATACATTACAAACATGACAATCGAGGTAACTTTGGTCCCCATTTATACATTACTACCATGACAATCTAGGTAACTCTGGACACCTGTTATATATTACTAACATGACAATCAAGGTAACTCTGCTCCCCATTTATACATTACAAACATGACGATCTAGGTAACTCTGGTCACCTTTTATATATTACTAACTTGACAATCAAGGGAACTCTGGTTCCCATTTATACATTACAAACATGACAATCTAGGTAACTCTGGTCCCCTTTTATACATTACAAACACGACAATCTAGGTAACTCTGGTCTCAATTTATACATTAATAACATGACAACTGAGGTAACTCTTCTTCCCATTTATACATTACAAACATGACAATCTAGGTAACTCTGGTCCCCATTTATACATTACAAACATGACAATCAATGTAACTCTGGTCCCCATTTATACATTACAAACATGAAAAACTAGATAACTCTGGTCCCCTTTTCTACATTACAAACATGACAATCTAGGTAACTCTGGTCCCCTTTTATACATTACAAACACGACAATCTAGGCAACTCTGGTCTCAATTTATACATTAATAACATGACAACTGAGGTAACTCTTCTCCCCATTTATACATTACAAACATGACAATCAATGTAACTCTGGTCCCCATTTATACATTACAAACATGACGATCTAGGTAACTCTGGTTCCCATTTATACATTACAAACATGACAATTTAGGTAACTCTGGTCCCCATTTATACATTACTAACATGACAACTGAGGTAACTCTTCTCCCCATTTATACATTACAAACATGACAATCTAGGTTACTCTGGTCCCCATTTATACATTACAAACATGAAAAACTAGATAACTCTGGTCCCCTTTTCTACATTACAAACATGACAATCTAGGTAACTCTGGTCCCCTTTTATACATTACAAACATGACAATCTAGGTAACTCTGGTCCCCTTTTATACATTACAGACACGACAATCTAGGTAACTCTGGTCTCAATTTATACATTACAAACATGACAATCGAGGTAACTCTGGTCCCCATTTATATATTACAAACATGACAATCTAGGTAACTCTGGTCTCAATTTATACATTACAAACATGACAATCGAGGTAACTCTGGTCCCCATTTATATATTACAAACATGACAATCTAGGTAACTCTGGTCCCCCTGGTCCCCATTTATACATAACAAACATGATAATATAGGTAACTCTGTTCTCAATTTATACATTACTCACATGACAACTGAGGTAACTCTGCTCCCCATTTATACATTTCAAACATGACAATCTAGGTAACTCTGGTCCCCTTTTATACATTACAAACACGACAATCTAGGTAACTCTGGTCTCAATTTATACATTACAAACATGACAATCGAGGTAACTCTGGTCCCCATTTATATATTACAAACATGACAATCTAGGTAACTCTGGTCCCCCTGGTCCCCATTTATACATAACAAACATGATAATATAGGTAACTCTGTTCTCAATTTATACATTACTAACATGACAACTGAGGTAACTCTGCTCCCCATTTATACATTTCAAACATGACAACCTAGGTAACTCTGGTCCCCATTTATACATTACAAACATGACAATCTAGGTAACTATATATTACAAACATGACAATCTAGGTAACTCTGGTCTCGATTTATACATTACTAACATGACAACTGAGGTAACATACATTACAAACATTACAATCTGTGTAACTCTGGTCCTCATTTATACATTACAAACATGACAATCTAGGTAACTATATATTACAAACATGACAATCTAGTTAACTCTGGTCCCAATTTATACATTACAAACATGACAATCTGCGTAACTCTGGTCCTCATTTATACATTACAAACATGACAATCTAGGTAACTCTGGTACCCATTTATATATTACAAACATGACAATCTAGTTAACTCTGGTCCCCATTTATACATTACAAACATGACAATCAATGTAACTCTGGTCACCATTTATACATTACAAACATGACAATCTGTGTAACTCTGGTCCTCATTTATACATTACAAACATGACAATCTAGGTAACTCTGGT